AGATTATTTCCCTTTTAAGATTTTTAAGCCAGCAGATGGAGCTTTAGGCTCCTTTAGAAATTTGTCTCAGGCTAATCTTTCCTGCTTCTCTGGGAAAAAGTCAGTGTATGCTTAGATTTCACACACTACTGATTGGTTTAGAGGGATGATTTATCTACCATCTTTTGCTGCCCGGTATTTAGTTAGGCTTAGTTTACAACGGTTTCAGGAAAAGGCGTGTGATGAGAGGATTTCTAGCTTCAGGAATGCTCAAATACTTCCCTGTTTGGTGAATACGTTGGTACCACATAGGGGTATATGATTGGCCTTTGTACTGCTTTTAAAAAAAAAACCTTTCTTGCACCATTTTCCAGTTGTTGACTGTAAGTAATGGTGAACTCAACAGCTCAAAACTGAATAGGTCTAAACACGCTCCCTGCTGAGTCAGGGAACCCCTATCAGCAGGGAGTCATCTTTCACGTTCCCTGATGACAGGAGAGCTATAGCTGTGACACAGCTTTCACGTAGAGAACAAGGGTCCTTCTCTGCAGCATGCTGGTAGGGGACAGGCTTTTCTACTCACACAGTGGCTACTTTCTAAGGAAAACAAGCAGCAAGACTTTGCACACTTCTAGTTTTGATGCACCAGGGATATATTCAGCTGATTTAAACTTAAAGTTTAGTTGGGCTTTAAAGTAGAATTAAACGCTCAAACTTTTTTCCAATAATGATTCCAGATCAAACAAACATTGTCCAGCAAAACATTGCTTTACATTTTTGCCCAAGCACTTAGTCATTATGTTTCTGAACATCTACTTCCAAATCTCTCAGCTCAACTTCCCTGAGCTTCCTGTCCAGTACAAGATCACAAAGGGCAGTGCAGACTCCAGTAACTGTTCATCTACTAGCTTAGAGAAGGTGGGAGAGGGGGCCAGGGGGAAGGGGAGTAGCTTGGCAGTGTCTGTAGAGACACACACCGCTTACTAGCACACACAAAGGTGACTGCATAGCACTCTGCTTGAGAAAGGAGTAGCTCTAAAACAAAAGTCAGGACCAGTGCTCAGGGAACCAACTGATTCTGCAGGAAACAAAGACTTTTAATCATCAAGAAGCAGCATCCATTGTAAGTGATTTCATCAGTATTTGAAATAGCTTTTGGCTTTAATATCACTTTAAGCGATTCCAACAAAAAAGAAGAGGCAATTGGGCTTTAACAAGTATAGAACATGAACGCCAAATAAAACAACCAAGGCGCCAAGCACAAACCCCACAAAAATAATTTTCTCTGTAATACCAATTCCTTGCTTAGCAGGGGTTAAATAAACTCCTCCCAGGCCAGTCTTTGGAGAAACCTTTTCATGAAGATACTCTAAACGCTAGCATAATTTGTTCTCAGTCTGCTAGGATGTCAAAGAGGCTTCACAAGATTTAGATAGTCTGTGCCCTTGGTAACAAAGACTCAGGCCCCATTCACACTGCGTGATTCGCAAATCGCGCGTTTGTCGCGCGATTTGCATTTTGCGCGCTATCGTGCAAATGCTTGCATTGAGCAAGCTCGAATCGCGGCAAAATCCGCTCCAAAAAGGGTCCTGCTGTAGCGACACACGACCCGCGACAGCAGGACCCTTTGCCCCATTGCCAAGCATTAGAGCGCGATATCGCGCGGTAAACAGGCGCGATATCGCAGGAATTACCGCGCGATAAATCGCTCAATGTGAACGGGGCCTTAAGGTGGCCATACACTAGTAGATTTTTGTGTCTACCACGAACCCTTGTTCGATTTATAACTCGAATACCTCATCAAGCATAGTCAAATGTTGATTTTGGAAATCGTTCGTTGGCCATACTAACCAACCAATTTTTGATAAACGCTGTAAATTTCATTTTGCGCTGTGTTCTTGCTAAGATTTTTGACAAACAAAAACCACTTCTGATTTATCGATTTTTGATCGATCAGAAAAATGTTTTCCAACCTGCCCGATCATCAAATACTTCAATCACAATATCAAAAACAAAAATCGGTGATGTGCCATCAACTGTTCAACGCTTGTTCGAAAGACCGCTCGTGTAGGATTTCCAAATGGAAATTGTACAATGTATGTCCACCATTAAGCTGGCCATGCACGTGGCAATTAGATAGTGTGATAAAACATTGGATTCCATTTCTAAGCAGTCAAGACATAAAACGATGGTCGTGATTTACTGCAGTAAGACAGATATAAATTGCCCTGGTCAAATTCGGCAGTAGAAATTTCGAAATCCACTTTCAACTAAATGACTGTGGTTTTTTTCTGTTTTTTATTCAATCTTTCATTTAATTCTATTGAAACGGTCAATTTCTTATCCATTCAAAGCTTTACCATTGACCAAATCCGGTTGATTGAACAAACTTATGGGTGGTAGATTGCTTAGTTTCTGGCATTTAAAGGAGAACTATGGGGTTAGGGCTTTTCCCCACAGTTCTTCTAAGGGTGACGGGAGGACACAAACTAGCGTCCTCCCGTCACCCAAAGCTCAGTATACCGCAAGCTATAGCTCTTGGTATACTGAGACGCCGCAGCTGAAACAGATCCCGACAATTATGTCTGGATCCACCCAGCTGCGTGAGTGACAGCTGGCTCTGCCTATCTAGAGGCAGAGCCAGCTGTACCCGCCCCCTCCCCCGTTTGTACCGCCAGTCAGCGCTGGAGGATCAGACGGGAAGGGGGAATCCAGTCCCTCCCCTGTCACGGCTCTCTGCAGTGACAGGATCGAGAAGTGAGCGAGCGCCGGTATGTGTTTGCTCACTTCTCGATCTACTGAGCCGACTTGTGACAGTCTCATTGTCACAGGTCGGCTAGAACTGTAAAGATTTAAAACTTTAATTAAATGCAATCCTATGTGTGATTTCTGGTGGATGCAACTAGGCTGAAATTGACAGAAATTTGGCACATTTATGGCCAGCTTTAGAAAGAGGGAGGAAGAGAAACAGTCTCAGTAAGAGATACTATTGTGTTCTGTCTTTTTTCAAAACTCTTGCTTTGCCAAAATAATGTCATGGGTGCACCTCTGTAGAGTGCATACACGTGGACCAGCTTCGGAGACTGGGAGGAAGAGAAACTGACTCTGTAAAAGATACGATTGCATATAGAATCCTTCCTCTATAAGATTTTTCCAGCGTAGTGGAAATATTTCTGTCATTGTGGAGGGAGCCTTGTCAATATTACGGCAGATCTCTCATGAATAGAGAGGGGGAGACAATGTTCATATTGTGGATTGTTGGCTCACACAGTAGCTTTTCTGGCTAAGGTATGGATGCAGCATGCTTGCTGTTCAAGGACTGTTCCTTATTTTAGTTAAATGTTGGAAGGCACATAGAGCAATAACAAAAAATGTCCAACCTATAGGAAATTCTTTGTTTGTAGTATTGTGTGCGCTTATGCAAGTGATTTAGCTAACCCCTATACGGCCCAGCTGCCACATGTGACTTTGGCATCCTATGGCTTGCAAATATTGGAACATCTTTGGCTGGACTTTGATTACAGAGTAAACTTTTTCCTTATTCCCTTACCAAAGTATTGTATTTTATTTCAGTCTTCAGTGTTAGAATATGTTTTTAGCTTGAAATTCCAGCAGACATCTGGCCTCCATCATTGCAGAAATTGAACCCAGCTGATAACACAGGGAGATCCCTATTCCTTGTGCATAGTGTTTGTGAAGCACGGGCCAACAATGAAGATTATCATCATAACTCTGTAATTCAGAAAAATATGATTCAGCTTCTAAATACAGTCGACCCCCCGCAAGTTTGTGGATTTGTCCTTAGAACCTAACTAATAATTGTTAGTAAATTATTACTGTATTCACCCTACTTATACCAAAGAAAACGACAGCGCATACTAAAGAAAACACGCTTGTATGAATTACAGTACATATAGGGGTAACATGCTGTACACTATACAGGTTTACCTTTACATTATTTTCTTTTAAGGGTAATGTATTAAGCTGAGTTTGAAATTAAAGTGTTTTGGAGGCATATTTAGGGTTCAAACTATAAAAATAGGCATTTGTAAGCACTTTTTTTTTACCACATTCAAAATTCACGTTTTTTCACAATTCGTGGGTGCTCTAGGAACGTATCGTATCCCCTGCGAATTTCGGGGGTCGACTGTAATATTGTACAATAGGTGAAGTATCTGAAATAGTGTATCGGTCTCAATTCTTACTTGGGTTGGTGTCCTGTATAGCTGGATGGATCTTCTTTTCAGCTCGGAGTTATTAAACTATCCAGTGCAAGGATAGATTGCCTCGCAGCAATGCATAAAATCTACTACTGTTTGTATACCTTGTTTCCATGTCTTCTGAGTTATGTTACACATTTAACCCAAATATTGACTTAACCATGATGGATCAGTGGCTGCTCACTTGGTCACAAAAGCATATGGGGATTAAGCAGACTATGCAAGGCATGCACATTCTGTGAGCCATAGTATAGTGACTAATAGTAGACAGACCTCAACCCTGCAGAGCTGACTGTGTACCCAGATGTACTTTGTGCAGGTTTTTGAAGTGCTAGTAAGTGGTTTGTGATTAAACCCGTTAGTATAGACACAACAAGTGTGTTTATCTGCCCTTTTACCACAGCTGGGGAGTTTAAAACTGGAATGCCCTGCAGGCTGCTGTGTATGTTAGAATGTACACACAGCTGTAATGGAAGAGTTCAGAATCTTAATGTCTTTTAATTTTCTAAACATATTTAATTTTCTGTGGCTTAGAGGCTCTTTTAGTAGAAGACGAGCGTTGTCCAGTTTCTTCTATTCAATTTGTACGGTTAAAACCATCACCTTAGGATGGTGTCCAGGAGGAAAGATGAGTAGGAAATAGTTATTTGCTTAGGATTCCTAGTGCTCTTTCTGTGTGGCGTTTATTTGTTCAAGTTTTAAATTAGAATTCCCTGTAATATTTTATAAAAGCGCCTCTCAGTCTGAAACACACTGTGTACCTGTTCTTGCTCTTTCACCTATTTTTATTTCTTTGGACAGGTTCCTGGAGCAGCATAAAACCTTCTGCCGCAGATGGAAACCTGGGCCCAAGATGCTGTGGGACCGGCTCAGACATTCACCAATTTCTTCCCCCTTTGCTTCTTTCTTCGATAACCATGTAACTTTTTTATGAATTTTTTTTTTTATTCACCTATTTGATATTAATATCCAGCTTGTATTGGAGTGCAGAGAGGCCTGTGCTCATGGTTAGAAGTTTTTATTCTCTCCATCTGTTGCAAACAGGAAGATGCAAGTTTAGCTGCCAGCTGTGTGTGTTTGCACTGTCCTTTTATTATCACTTGCTCTGTAAATGTCAATGTTCTTTGCACTTTTCTTCTTATGAGCACCCCAGTTGCTACCTTTGTGCCAGAGACATTATTGGGCTTTTTGTCACTGCAGTTACACATAAGGTAATACTACATTTTTAACACTATTGAATTAATATTTAAAGATGCCAGCAGAGCATGTAGGTACGAAAATAGTTGAGATCATTTCTGTCCAATGAGATGGGAGCAAACTTTCATACAATAATGGTACTGGAGCTGTAAGAAGTGTCTTCTTACAGTGAAAGCTAGCTTCTGATTGTACTGCACCACAGCATTGTGTATGGCTTTAATAAGCTATTCCTGTTAAACCAACTAGTGCCTTAATTCTGTTGGACTGATTTAGTTCATCTTCATTAAACAATGAAGGATTTGCTGTCCTTTTTTATTTTTTCATTTTTCTTGTGTACAACAATGGTTAATGTAATCTCTGGATTATCTGAGAAAGCGAAGCTTCTTGCTATAGGCAATGGAGTACTGTAAGGTCAATTTGTACTGTGGTGAGAAATATTCTGACATCGCTATCTCATTCTGTGCTTTCCCTTTCTTGACAAATCATAAATAACAGATGTGTTAAAAATGAAGATAGATAAAGATCAGGAATGCCACAGGGAAAGCAGTGTCAGTATCTTGCTCATTGCCGTTGTTTCCATACACGTATCTAATAGCCTGGCTTTGCAAGAGTAGGGAGGAGAGATCTGACTTTGAGGACTTGCGCTTGATGTTTGTTACACCCAGAGTGTCAGATATTTAACCTTTAGTCCTGAAGTTCAAGTTACTGTAGGCAGAATAAACCAAATCTGAATGTTTTGTTTGATCATTTGGATGCATTAGATTTACTATACATGGGTAGTAAGTACAATATATTCATACTCTGTTAAAGAGCAAGCTAGGTTCTTCTGTTCACTACACTCCATAACCAATTAAGATGTCTTGTTTATGAAGTCTGAGTTTCACAAATAACCTGATATTCCTGAAGAAGGTTCAGCTTCTCTCTGTGTGTGAAAGTCTCAGGAGGAGAGATTTTAACTTGGCAGGCTTTGACTTGTTCTATATTAAGTTATGTAACGCACATTCCATCTAGGTAGACTTTTTTTTTTTTTAGCAGGTGCAAAATCTTAATGCATGACCTCTGCTTATTTTAAATTCTGACAGAAGATATATCTAATAAACTGTACAGACAACCCTGTCTTCGTGTGGAGGGTTTGTTTTGAGGCCATCTCTTGGAGTGTAAAGGAATGTCAATTGTATGAGACAGAATTTTTTCCCTGAACATTTTTCCTATTAGACATTGTTGCATATTCCTTGATAACAAAAAAAAAAGCAACTGTATTTAAAGCTTATCTCTTTGGGGGGGGTGAGGGGACCTCCAACTGCTGGATCGAAGGGGTAAGAGGCTGCAGGCACCAGCCTTGGTGTCTGCAGGAGTGGGGATCAGCTACCTAAAAGTGCTTTACAATACCCCTAGACAAAAATGAACATTTAACCCTTGCAGTGTGATGGTAGCCTCATTGCCAGGATATTTTTTTTCTTCCTGGCGATAGTCTTTAATCATGATGGTGGGTTGCTAGAGACCTACAGAAAGTGTGTACCATTGTGTTTACGTACACCTAGCAGAATTTGTAAAATGTTAGCCAATTTTGCTGCAACAGTGCCATAATACAGCCTGCTTACAACATGCTAAACAGCACCTAGAAGGAGACCAAAATAGAATTTTATGTTTACAGCCATAAATTCTGTTTGGACAGCAGTCAACAAGGCTTACGAAAATAAGCGCATCATCCCTACAATGCAGCATGGAGGTGGATCTCTGCTGTTTTGGTGGTGTGTGAGCACAGGTAATGTATTCACAATTGATGCCAAGATAATTGCAGCATATTATCAGACAATATTGAAGGAAAAAATCGCATTAAGCAGCCCAGAAGCTGCACATAGGGAGTACCTGAACTTTTCAACTTTCCAACATGAAACGTGATCCGACACACAAGGCCAGATTGACCCTTCAGTGGCTGCAGCACAACAAATAGAGGTTCTTGCGTGGCCATCACAATCTCCTGACCTCAACATCATTGAGCCTCTATAGCTTTTTTGCCAGGAAGAATGGCCACCTTTGCCATATGAGAAAATGAAGGTCCTTATTCATAAGTATCGCAAAAGACTGCAAACCATCATTATTGACGAATGAACAGGACCATTTTATTTGTTTTTATTACTATGGTTGGAAAATCAGTTTAAAAAAACACGCATAAGTACAAATGTACACAGACCACATCATGAAGTCAGCGCAGCTGTAACAACTAGTCCACAATAAAGAAGCACCAATAAGATTTAAGTTGCTAAAAAGAAAATCCACAATACTGAAGATCCCTTGGAGCACCCTTAAATCCATAACCGCAAGTAAGGAAAGAATGTGGTCTGATGTTGGCTAGAGAGAACCACCCACCAAAACTTTGTGTCTGGGCAAGAAGGGCATTATTTTAATAAGCAACTGAAAGGTTGCTACAGAGATCCACATCAGAGATTGTAGAAACCATCTGTTGGCAATGAGAACACATTAAAATGCGGAAAGGTCCAAGTTGGTGAACACCATGTTTGTCCAGCATGTATTAAAGAAAAACTCAGGGCAGTAGATAACAGTGCGGGGGCTACGCGTTCTTTTTCGTCTAGGGTCTAAAATAACAAAGAAATACTCACCAGAACTTCAGACCTGGCTGGCTGTTTGACTGATTTCTGCAGCTCCTTTACTCCAGTAGTCTTAACGCCTCCTGTCCATAAAGAGGGCCTGTCATGTAGCTTCTTAGCCCCTTATGTGATAGCAATAAAGTTAAGTGTAACAAAAAAAATAAAGAAGCATAAACAAAATTTAAAAAAACACAAAAATGTTTTTAAAGTCCCCCGCCCCCACATACACACGCTAACGTGTGTCTGGTGCGCCTACGTGGGAAAACGACGATTACGCCTATTGTGCCACACATTACATATCACCGTGAACGTCGGAATGAGAGCAATCATTTTAGGGCCATTAATCACTGAACACTAAACTGATGAGCGGTAAAAGCTTTTAAAGCGTCGCCTATGGCCAATTTTGGGTGTGGTCGTTTTTTGTGATTTTACTGGCACGTGCAATTTTAAGGCTTGACATGTTTGTTGTCTATTTCCGACGTGACCCCGTCTTTTATATTTTACAAAAAAATTGGGGTGATAAATGTTTCCTAACATTTCATAGGGAAAGTTTTTTTTCAAACTTTTTGGTACTTTTTTTGTTTATATAGTAAAAAATAAAACCTTCAGTGGTGATTAAATACCACCAAAAGAAAGCTCTATCTGTCCCCAAAAAATTTTATAAAATTCATTTCAGTACAGCGCTGCATGATGGAATAAATGTCAGTCAAAGTACCGCAGCGCTGAATACTGAAAAATGGCCTGGTCGGGAAGGGGGTTTAACACCCTGGGCTTCAAGTGGTTAAGAACCAGTGAGTCATTATGTCCAATTCCAAAAGCCAGGCCTGAGGTTCGGGTGAGTGACCCTTTTAGACCCTGAATGAAAATGAGCAGTTGTCCCATGCAGTTTGGAGGTAGCCTGCACTGTAAGGGTTGTTTTCTGCTGCCTGGAGTTCCTCTTTAGTAACCACTTCTACTTTATCCTATGCAGTGTTTGGCCATCATGCATTACATGTTTATCCTCCAAATGTAATCTCTTTGAAACTCCTATCTACATACTGTATACTATTATGCGCACTTCCTGTTAACTTTATTTCTTGCTTTTATTCAGTAGCTTTTTTTTCATGACTATGCTCAAGTGTGGGGGGCATGGCTACAATGTTAGAGAGCACGCAGTGGTATGCTGTATAGGGTGGTGGAGAAGTGACATTCCAGGACCGAACAGCTGTTCCAGGGCAGATCAGTTCTCCTGCACATATGATTTGTGATGCATATCTGCCCTGGAACAGCTGAGAAACCGTTGGAATGCTTCACCTGTTGGCAGTCACACATTCCACCGCCAAAAAACTGGGCGGGATTAAATTGATATGTGTGACCACGTCACCGGTCACACATTGTAACGTAGTCACAAACTTTGATAGAACAGCGGCCCTGTCTAATCATTTAATCAGATAAATAAATTATAATAGGCAACATTACATTGTAATGTTCCCGATTTATAATCCACTTTTATAATTAAATGAAATTACAGCACACAGTGTGCAGTTGCAACTGTACCACCCCCCCTCCCCCCGCTCCTCATTCGGACTCACCTGCCAAGCCTCACAGCCAGCATCCCAGCCAGATGGTGAACACTGCAGGGGGTGGGGCATGTAACACACACTCCTCCTCTCCCGCAGCCTGTTACTAGGGAAGCGGCCGGGAGAGGATGAGTCACAGGACACACCCCATTGCTCAGGCCCCGGCGGTAGTTCCGCCCCTGGTCAGGGGCAGCAGCAGAGGGATGAAAGAGCCACATGCGGCTCCGGAGCAGCGGGTTGCTGACCCCTGACTTATGGCAATATACTGCTAGACCCCATTTTGTCTATGCAAAAGGGAAAGATGGCTCCACAAGCCATACACTGTGAAGAAACACCCACTTTCATCCTTCTAGGCCTCGGGCTTCAAACCAAAACATTGCCTGTCAACGGTTAGAGTTTACCTATCTGGCATGCTCTCTGACTCTGAAGGAGGATGGCTGAATACACGAACGGTGACTCCCCGAACAGTGGCTGCAGTTGTTTGGCCAAAAGTTAGTCGTCCAGCTCCTTCAATTTTTCAAAGTTAGTCAAGCCAGGTGGGGCCACCAGTCGAATGTGACTAAATACCCATGGCTCAAATTTTGACCATTTTACAGGAACTGGATGGAATTTGAGTCATGTATGGCCAGCTTTAGTCCACTAGATAAGATGTCAGTTGTCACCTGGCACAATGGCTTCTTACACATCTCTGGGACTTTAGGGGTGAGATCAGCTTTTTTTCCAGATAGTTAGCAATGTAAATTTTCCCGCTCCCCTGCAAGGGCACTTTTGTTTTTTTAAGCCTGCTGCAGGGATTCACACTTTCTGCACCCAATGTTCAAGACTCTTATGTAACTTTAAGAAGTGAATTCACATCTGCTAATGTTGTGGTCTGTGGCTTTCACAAATAGGAGACCTAGATGAATACTTGCTGCTCATTCTGCCAGTACTTGTTAATCATAAACTGCTGCCTGAATAAAGATTCTTTCTGTTTTGCACAGCTAATAAGCAAGATACTTCAAATTTGATGAACTGGAACCACAAAAATGTTATTTTACCCTTCCTGCTGCCACATAAAGGGGGTGATGTCAACAGTAACTTGTTTGTGTACATGAACGAGTTTTGTGAAGGAAGAATCGACTTTTAATTACACAGAAGACTTTATTAAGTTAAGCAATGTATATAGTATTGGGATATTCCATAGTGCTTTATAAAGAATTATG